ATGACAATGACAATGACAATGACAATGACAATGACAATGACAATGACAATGACACTGACAATGACAATGATAATGATAATGAAATCAGTTATAATAATGATAATATTAAAGAGTATTAATGCTAATTGGAATGACAATTAAAATGAAAATAATTTCAAACATAATTATGCCAACGATCATTATCGCAATATCCATAACGTGTCACTCGCTAATGTAATTAGCACAAGGGCTGACTTAAACAAATGATATCGGTGTAATAGCTAACGACTTGCTTTAATGAATCCCGACTCATTTGAAATGAATCCCACATGACACACAGACAGGCGCACAAACACTTTACTAACTGCCGGATGTATGTGAAAACAATTGTGTCTCGCATGAGTGTGAGTGTGAGTGTGTGAGTGTGTGTGTGTGCGTGTTTGTTTATGTTATTTATTTACTATTCAATTGGTGTTGGCCTGCCCTCAGGGCAGCTCGTATCAGTTACAGTTTGAGATGCTGCAGCAAATTGGCATTGTGCCGCATTTAATTAATAACTAATATAAACATAAATTTATGCGTAATTGTGTGCCAAACACTAACCGCAATTAACTAATTATCCATTTTTCATGTGGATGGAACGTGCTGCCACGCCTACGCACAAGAGTGCATAAATTAGTTATATGCTGTGTATGCGAGTGTGTGTGTGTGTGGCACATAAACAAAGCAAAACACGCGTCGCATTAATGTTAACAACGATTTGTGGGCCTAAATGCAGCGCTAGAATTAACGGATATCCGCCCCAAAAATGTCTGATTGTGCGTGTGCGTGTGTGTGTGTGTGTGTGTGTGCGTGTGTGAGCTCGTGTCTGCAGGCAAATACAATTCGCATTTATCTTAATTAAGTTATTGATATTGCCTGTGTATTTGCTTAGCGCCCGTTTCTGCCTCTGCGCTTGCCTTTTATGTAGAAGTCATGGCTCTGCCTGAGTCATGCGTTCATTTCTCCGACTCCTGCTCCTGCTCCTGCTTCTGTTCATTTGGGGTCTTTGCGCCACTAGGCAACCAGTCACCCGTTCGAGCATGACGTCAGTGTAGAGAGCTGTGTCGGACTGTTGCTAATTGAGCAAGATTTATGATTTTCGATGGCCTAACCGCAAGTCAGCTGACTGAAGAACTGGCGGCATTAACTGCGGCCAGCAGAAAGCAACCCTTTTAATTATCTACATGAAAGGCAACAAGCAATACAAGCCGAATGCCAACTTTTCTCATTTGTTGAGCGAGAAGGCGCTCGGCTTAACCCCGGCCTAAACGTCTGTCTGCCAATGGCGCTGCCAATGACATGACTTTAATTACATTGCAGCCCGTCGGCAATGACAGTGGGCAATCACTGCAACAGAAGCAATGGGCCAGAGGGGCAGCGGGGCAGCGGGGCAGTGGGGCAGTGGGCCAGTGTGGCAGTTGGCAGTGGCAAGAGCCACACTTATTATACAGCCACTTGAGGCGCCCAGCCATTGGCATTGACGTTCGCCCACACTTGAGTCAACAGACACACAGACAGAGAGGTAGAGAGAAAGAGAGAGAGACAGAGATACACTTAAATATATTCAATTGGCGCTGAGCGCGTGTCGTGTTTTCTTTCGATTCCAAGAACCGAGTTGAAGTCCGTGTGACTGACTGTCTGTGCGCTCGCACCTTCAACAGGTTAACGTGCAGGACATTACGAAATCTATTACCGAACTTAACACGATTAAACACGATTTCTTCGAAAAGACGACGTTTTGCATATTTGTGTGCGCATTTGGATGATTGTGAATCAAGGAAGATTTGCCGTGTTTTAAATATTGTACTGTGTGAGCTCGTGGGAATATATATAATCTATATATTTTGTATGTATGTATATACTGAGATGGAAGGGAAATAAATACCACGTAAGCCACATGTCTGTTGCCATATAAGAAAGCTTTAGACATAAATGTTTTGTACTCAACGGGCAGTTCTACTAGCAGCTGTACTATTGCTAGATATCAAATAAGGCGTGCTGTGAAAATAAGTTTGCATATTGTATTCGATAGTATGAGTTAAACTCTCACGATTATTATGTTAAAAGCATTTTTACCTAAAAAGAACGAATACTTCATTCGACTTGATTTAGTAGTACTTATATCGTATATAAAGTGCTCAAGCAACTCACACTTCGCAGCTTTTAAATATCCCTAAGAATATATATCTAAATATCAAATCTAATCTCATCAAAATATTGGCAAATATATTCAAATAAAATCACTAAAAATAGCACTTGAGATTTCCATTAACTTACATCTCATATTAACTATAATTTCATTTTTAAAATACTTTAAAACTATATTTGGTATGATAACTATTTATTCAAATATATCTATAGATAGAGCACAGAATTCACTGCCTTGTGCTGGCTGTCGTCACAGACTCGCATCTCTAGCAACGCTCACAGACAAGAGTTGACGTCCTCGTTTGCCTCTCGTTTAGTTGCACTCGAAGGCATTGTCAAAGCGTTCATTAAAAAGAAAGCAAGACCAAAGGCGAATACCATTGACAGGATACAAGGAGCCAGCGCATACGTGCGTGCCCGTTATAACTACTGTCTGTGTCTGTGTCTGCGTCTGAGTCTGTCTCGCTATCTCTTTTTCCTCTGTGTGTGTGTGCGTGTGTCTGTGTCTGAGCCTTCAATATGAATGGCAGTGGCATTTGCCTTGATTGACGCACTGCTGACCGCAAATGAATGAATGTGTTTGACTATCTATCTCTAGCTCTATTTCTGTCTCCCTCCCATTCACTCTCCCTCTCACTCTCACTCTCTAGCTGGCAACGTGCACTGTGTCAGTCGACCTCTTGTTGATTGCCTTTAAAGCTGACAGCTGCTTTATTTAGCTTTAAAGCCAGAAGACGTGGCTATTTAGCCATCGCCTGCACTTAATCAGAATCTCGGCGCTAAGTGCTTTATGGGCTGCTTCTGTTACTCTTTATCGTTATTGTTGTTATTGTTGTTGTTGCCGCATAATTGCAAAGCATCAATCTGCAAATGAGCTTCATTAATTTGCCACATAAATAAGAACAAACACAAGATTTAGCTTAAGTCCAAAGCAGCTTCAACTGCTTGGAAATATTAGCTTGAATCTTGCTTCTGTCTCGTCGCATGCTCTGCACATAAATGGGTTAAGTTGGGTATATTACGTTAGTGATATATATCATTTAGCATGGGAGTATATCCAGATAAGAGAGTTCAACAAACCCAATACTAAATCATCGTAATAAAGTCATTAATATGAAAGAGTACGGAAGATTAGACATCAAGTTATGAACAAGTTCCTTAGAGAGCATCTTTTAGTCGAGTAATCTTGAGTAGCGGCTCGTGCACAATGCGCGTTGGCTGATTCAGTGGTTGAGGCCGCAGCGCTTGACATTAAAGCTCATGAGAGACACACACACACACACACATGCACACACACGCACACTGTTGGCCACGGTCAAAGTGGCAGTTGTTTTGCTAATACACAGAGACCGGAAATGTAGCTGATCCCCCCGCCCTCTAGCCAACGACAGCAGCCCACAGCGGCGCACATCTCTCTGCTGTGCTGTCGCAGTGTCGTTTTATTGTTATTGTTGCAAAAGTCCTTGTTATTGTTATCGTTGCTGTCGCCGCCGCTGCCGCCGCCGTTGCTATTGCTGCTGTTGCTGCTATGCGTGTTTGTGGCACTTTAGACAAAAATCGATTTGCCTATAAAATGTTTTACACACACACACAGACACACACACACTCAGACATACTCACACGACCACAATAAGGCCAAGCTGCATGTGTCGGCATGGCGTCTAAGCTTCAAGGCCCGCCCCCTTAAAGCCACTCGCCCACAGCTGTTTGTCTGTCCTCCCGCCCGTATGTATTCCAGTCAACATGCTTGTGCGTAAGTCTGTGCATATGCTGGCTCAGCTGAGCTGCTGTGCTTACTGCCAAAAATTCACTGCTAATGTGTCGCTCCCCCGCCACTCCTCCTCTCCCTCACTCTCACTCAAACAACTGCCGGACCGACCACACAGTCAACTGGCATGCGGGCAACTGGGCAGCGATTGATTATGCACACATTGTGTGCTGGCTCGCTTCAGAACGCTTTCAACTCAATTTCGCCTGGGCCCGAAATAGCCCCGGGCAGGGGCGGGGACAGTGGCAGGAGCAGTTCGAAAATAACTGG